AGGATAGATATATAGTTACATTCTCTTAATGAATAGAGGGATTTGTTCTAATAGTGTTTGTAAATAGGATATCATGTCCGCATCTTGTACAGCAAATAATCACTAGGAAGAATGTATGCAATGTGTTAATTATTGAAACTGTCCTAACAATTTGGTTTGAAACTGTCTCATTGCTATTTGTTTCTCAATAAAATTATGGGGGGAAAAAAGAAGAAGTAGGATCAGATCAGAAGTAGGCCATGGAAGAGGTGATCTCTCTCTCTCTCTCTCTCTCTCTCTCTCTCTCTCTCTCTCTCTCTCTCTCTCTCTCTCTGGCTCTCTAGCTCTGGCTCCCTCTAGCTTTGGCTCTCTCTAGCTTTGGCTCTCTCTGTCTCTGCCTGTCTTCCTCTCTCTTTCTGTTTCTCTCTGTTTCTGTATTTCTGTCTGCTTTCATCCACCATGCCAGCAGCTCTTTTTCCTCTGCCATGACAGCCTTTCTTGCAGCAAGCTGACTATGAATTGAAACCTCCACAAAGTATGAGTCAAATAAACAACTCTTCCTTAAGAAAAGAAAGAAACTAGACTAATTAAAGGACTGAAAGAAAAGATTTGTCCTCTTTGAATTTTGTTTGTGAACTCTGTGCCTGCTTTTATGTCTTCAAGATTTGTACCAATTTTTTCTTCTAGTATATTTAACATTTCTATTTTAATATTTAGATCTTTGATTCATTTGACTTCACTGCATGGTGATAAACATGGGTCTAGTTTTAGTCTTATGCATGTGGAGAGCCAGTATTTGATGTACCATTTATTAAAGAGGCTAGTTTTCTTCCAGTGGACATGTTTGGTCGGAGAGTAGACTGGTACAAAGATGTGGTGGCTGAGTGTGTTTGTAGGTGTGTCTGCATCTTCTAATCTGTTTCATTGATCCTCAGGTTTTTTTTTTTTCAGTACAGCTAGTTTAGTGAATCTTTATCTTCATTCCATTTCCTTGATAACAATATAGGGATATGATATGGGACATTCCTTATTCCTTTGGCCCCGACAGCTGATTTTACCAGAGTGGCTCTGTAGTATAATTTGAAGTAAGAGATTGTGGTGCCTCCTTCCTTGTCTTTGTTGGTCAGGATTGCTTTTGCTATTCTAGGCCTTTTCTAGCTCCAGGTGAATTTTAAGAATGTTTTCTCTAGATCTGTGAAGTATGATAATGGTATTTTAATTGGTATTGCATTAAATCTTATAATAATTTTGGGAATATGGCCATTTTTACAATGTTGCTTCTTCCTTTCCATGAGCAGAGAATATCTGTTTTCTGAAATCCTCTTTGATCTCATTTTCAGAATACTGTACTTTATAGATCTTTTACTACCTTTGTTAGACTGATTCCTAAGTATTCAAATTTTTTGGATACTATTATGTATATGTGCTGCCAAAATACTGTTATGAAAAGTGTTTCTCTAATTTCTTTCTCAGTGTGTTTGGTTTGTGTACAGCAATGCTATTGAATTTTCAGGATTGACTCTGTATCCAGCTATGCTACTCATCTAGAGCTCTTTTGTGGGGTTTGTGGAGTCATTGATGTGGAGTATCATGTCATCTTGGAGTAACAATAATTTAATTTCCTCATTCCCTATCTTTATTCCTTTCATTTCTGTCTCTTGTTTACTCTGGCTAATGGTTACACAACTGTATTGAATAGGAATGGTGATAGTGGTCACCCTTGGCTTTTCCTCATTTTAAAGTGAAAGCTTTTTTGGGGGGGTTGGCTCAGCCCACCCTGAGGGCAGGACTGGTGCAGCATTTGGTGCTGGGGATTGAACCACACCTACTCAAGCTTGTCTAAGCAGGTGCTTTAGGCCACTGAGCTGTCTCATCGGCCCTTAAAGTGAAAGCTTCAAGTTTTTGTCCATTTAGTATGATGTTGGCTGTTAGTTTGTCATAGATGGCTTTTATCAGATTGAGATAAAGTCCATATATTCTGATTTTCTGTTGGTTCTTGAAAATCATGAATGAGTGTGGGACTTTACAAAAGATTTTTCTACATTTACTGAGGTGATTTTTGTCTTTGTCTTTGTTGATGTGGTATATTATATTTATGGATTTGCATATATTGAACCATCTCTGCATTCATGGGATGAATCCCACTTCGTTGTGCTGTATAATTTTCTTGATGATTTGCTGCATTGTTTGCTAATATTTTGTTGAGAGGTTTTGAACCCATATCATTAGGGAGATTGGGCTATGTTTTACTTTTTTTGGTTGTGTCTTTCTTTAGTTTTATTTATTTATTTGTTTGTTTGTATTTAAGGAAGGGTCTACAGGGTGTTTATTGTCTTACTAATAGACTGGACTCATAGTCATCTGCCTGTTTACAGCCTCCCAAGAGCTGGGATTATAGGCACATGCTATCATGTCCAGTCTCAATTGCTGTCTCAGTACATCCTGGGGGCAGGGCTGACATAGCAGGCCCAGGGATTGAACCCTGGCCCCTGCTCCTGCTTACGGGCACTTTAATCTGCTGAGCTATTTGGCTTGCCCTTTCTCTAGTTTTAGTATGAGAGTAGGGGTCCTGCTGGTTAGCTCAGTTGTTTAAGCACCTGCTCGTGCAAACCACAGTCAGGCACAGGATACCGCAGTTCGATCCTCAGCTCCACATGCCTTACCAGACCAACCCTTAAAGGTAGCCTGAGCCAGCACCCTTCAAAAAAAAAAAGATAGTATCACAGTAATACTTGCCTCCAGGAATGAGTTAGAGAGAATTACCTCTCTTTCAGTTTCATTAAAGTGTTTGAGAAGAGTTGGCATTAGGTCCTCTCTAAATTTCTTGAAGAATTCAGCTCTGA